TGCAAGACAGTCTATATGTTTTTATGTTTTAAAGAATTTCAAGATTTTTATAGAGAAAAGTATTTATACCCTTAGGAATTTGAAGCTCGTTAGAAATCACTGCCAAAGCAAGACATCAATTGATTTTAATTTCAAAGGATTACAAAATTATTACTTAAAAAGTATTTATATAGGTATCTAGGATCTTTTAAAGTCCATTAAAAGTAAATCTTAAATCGAAACCCTTTTTAGGTAGATTGCAATTTTTTCTCTCAGTGCTTGGTGACTCGAGTAGGGCGTCGACACGCCCCATTTTTGCAAGTGCCATCGTCGTTGTTGCTGTAGTTGTCGGTGTTGTTGTAGTTGTCGTCATCGTTCCCATCGTCAACGTTGTCGGTGGCACTTCACTTTTCTATATTAGCGCCACGTAAGTGCAGCCGCAGGGGCGTGGCAATTGCATTAGCGAAGGACGCGAGGGGGGCAAGGGGATAATGGGCGTTGGAGGACATTAGTATCGCAGTAGATAAAGTGGTTGGAAGTGAAAAATTATACGAAGCTACAATGTTAACGGACGAACAATGGCGATATTTTAATACCCTTTTTGCGGAGTCATCAAAAAATCATAAAAATACTTCGATTATTAACTTGTCTGCAACATTTTCAAATTGTTTTTTTGTAGTTTTAATATTTCCTATTTACGGAGTATATTTTCCTGAAAATGCTTTCTATATAGAGTTTAGTTATTATCTACAAATTAAATTTATTTAATAAAAACAAACTTACGTTACATCTTTTCTCATAAGTATATCAAATAAATAACATTACAATTTTTATGGTTTACATTTTCCAATAGATTCAACTCATTTCATTGAGGTCCACAACTAGTAAATAAAATCCTCATGGTCGCAAAACAAACTCAAAGTGCAATTTATTGTACATCATTTGCGAAATTCTTTATAAAAACATGCAATGAATTTATCAACCCAATGAAGTATACCGTTGGAGGGCAAGACACATTTTGTGTGTAATATATGCCGCAAAGTTATAGTTTGCCCTTTGACCCGCCGTTTGAAATAAGAAGTCATGGAATAAGTAAGTAGGGGACCCAAGGAGGGGGCAGTGGAAAACGAAAACGAAGCTGTGGAAATGGGCTTGATGTCGTCTGTCGTTTGAGGCTAAGAGAAAAAGAGGGCGTTAGATGCACTCTCCTGGCCAGGCTATCTTCTATTGCACTGAGAAAAATCCCCAATGCATTTGAGTAGGACAAAGAGGGAAAAAATGCACACAAATAACTATTGCAATCTGGGCTATTTCTTGGTTATCATAGATATTTTGATATATTTATCATAGAAATTAAATTGATTTAAATCAATAATTCTTACAATTTAAATGATCCAAATAGATCTTGATCTTTTGCATCTGAAATTAAGTCTGTGGTATTTAAATATTTATGGAGCCAGCGAACATTTAAATTAAATTAATTTAAATGTATTAAATAAGCTGCCTAAAAAATGTTTATTTAAACTTTAAATGATCCAATAAAAAATTACTCAAGTGATCTATTTTGAAATAGATGTTGATCTTTTGTATTAATTGCTCCAGAGTGATATTTGAAATATTTTTTTAATCATCGAATTTGTAATTATTATTATTAAATTAAGTTAAACTAATTTGATCGCCTGTTTCGGAATTCAAATAATATAAAAATAAAGTTTACCTAAGGGATATTATTCCAAAAAAATGTATATTTTTTCCAGTGTGATCATATTATATTTTAATCTTTATTATTCCCGTGCCTTGCTACTATTTATTTTGAAATTGATATTTCTCGGTGTACGTGTGAGTGCAGCTGTGTGAGTGTGAGTGCGTATAAGTGTGAGTGTGTGTGTGTGTGTGTGGCCCGTTTAATGGCCACAAAGCGGAAACTGGAGCGTGGCTGCTTCTTCGTCTTCGGCTGATGCAGCTGCATTAGCAGCCATTTGCAGCGGCCATTGATGGCAGTGCATATGTGTTGGTGGCTCTGCCCTCTCTCCCTCTCCCTCTCTCTCTCTCTGTCGCTGTCTGCCCCTCTCTTTCTCGCTTTGGGCGTGCTTTACTGCCATTTATATTTATGTTTGCCCGATGCCTTGGCCCCCCGAAAAATGATGACATGAAAAATTGTGTTGCCCGCTTTTGGGCGCTGCTCTCTGATTCGGTTTCGCTTGGGGTTTTTTTTGGGGGTTTTCGGGGGTTTTCGGGGGTCTTTCAGGGGGTCTTTGGCGGTTCCGGGGATCCCCACACCGCCAAACTCCTCGGTTGCGGCCCTAAGGCCAGTCAGCAGACAGCCAGGAAGCTTTTCGAGCGCAATTTATGGCTTTTTAAATCGAAAGAAATTCAATGCTTGTTTAAGAAGAATGAACGAACAGTGCGCCCCAAAACAAATTTCGAGATTTATGTTTACCCTCGCAGTGCTTATTTTGTACTTCGCCCTTGTTCCATCTATTATTTTTTTGTTTGTTCTCTCTCTTTCAGTTCAGCCAAGGATGTTTGAGACATGGTAAGTAGCCCTAATTGTCCAACACAAATATCGTACTTATTCCTCAGCTACAAGACTGCAAATCAAAAAATACAAACAAAAAAAAACCCTCACAATATATTATATGCTATTTGATGATTTTTTTTCGTAACTAACGAAATGGTTTTGTGAACTTGTTATTTACCAACTTGATTTACTCTAGACTTGCTTCCATTTCGTATAAAATGTTTCAATGGTGATTAATGCGTGTTCTATTTATTTTATTTTACAAATAGTTGTCGCACAGCACATATGTTGCTGTCAAGGATCTCGGTGGTGCTTGAAAAAACTACCAAATTGCTGTGGCAAAAAAAAAAGCGGAACGCTTTCTCTTGCGAGCCTTCGATTTGGAATTGGGGAAAGGCGGGCGGTGAAAGTGAATACAGTGAATAAATGGTGGGTGGACCCATTAAATGCTGGCTTAAAGGCTGGCCTTGGTGACGCGTCGCGACGCGATGCGCATAAAAAATGGAAAATCAAATCGGAAAAACACGCACAAAAGGCGTTGGCCGGCCCAAAAGTGGGTGGTGGGTTGAGGAAAAACTATATAGAAAAAATCCAAGAAGAATATGGGGGGCGGAAAAGGGCAGGCTCAGTTCGCAATCAATGCGTTGGTGGCCAAGAAGTGGGGGGGCGGCTGCTTTGATTGTGGGCGTGGCACTGCCTTGTGCCAGTTTCGGCTATGCAGCCACACACACACACACGTACATAGCTGGATACGCAGACAGATACAGATACGGGGGCACAGATACAGATACAAAGCTGCGGCCTCATTTTGCGGACGCCAAATAGAACTAAAACTGAAACTGAATCTGAAACTGAGACCAAAAACCCGAAGCCAGTGCTGAAAACGAAGGGGCAGCCGGACCATTGTCCTTCGTCCTTTTTCTGCTGCATTAGCCAACTCATCCTGTTACGTCCTAGCCACTTTCCATTTCAAGCCAACCAAATGTCCGCCCACCTTTCGACAATAGCAACTTTCCGAAACTCACCAATCGACCTTCGCAAAAAACGGTCAGTTTAGGGTTACTTGTTTGGTTATGCCAAAATATATAATGTAATATTTGTTTAATATTTTTAAAGGTAGAAATGGTTGTTTTTTTTTTAAATATTTTTTCTGCTTTTTTTGGCCTTTTTGAAATTCTAAATGAATTATATATAAAGGGTAGCAACATTTTCGACTACGTTCTCAAGCGATTGCATTAATCCCAATTCCCAATCGTTTATATCAAGTGATTTTATTTTTTGTTTCATTTGTTAGTCCTTCTTTTTTTGCTGTAGCCGTCAGTGTGACTGTTTTGTGTTCTTTCTGTGGCAATTGCCAAAATCCAAATTAAGCTTTGGCAATAAAGCCTGGCACGGACAATAACAGCTAACCTCGGTCCTGGAAATCCCCAGCAGGATCCTCATCATCCCAGCATTCCTGGCCACCGATTGTTTGGCTGCCCCACTTGGTCAAAACACGCAGAAAAAATTGTATTAGATAGATATTTATATATATTAATATATATTATATAAACCAGTAATTAAGGATCATATCTCTATCTATTAATATAGATATATATATTAATATATTTTATATAAAACATTTATTTAGGATCATATCCCTGTTATCCCTTGATATACTTAATTTTTTACTTTATTAGTCCACTTAAATTAAAATTTTACTTTGTTTTGGTAATAGAAAAAAACAAATATATAAAAAGAAACCATAGAGATGATCTTCAGAAAATGTTTTTGCTCATGGGCTATATCAATCAAAGCTACACAGAAAAAAAAAGCCAGAACAAAGACGAAAGAAGAGAGATAAGAGAGAGATAGTGCCTAAAGTTACACTTTGTGAGAGCAATGAAGCAATATTAGATACTCTCTGAAACATAAAAAGAGAGCAAAAAACAAGATAGCGAACATATAAGAGTGATATGCCCCCTATATAGATAGAACTGAAACCGTATTTCATTAAAATGATCTTTAAATCTTATAAATTTTTTTCTCTGTGTCTGCTTGTCTTTCTTTTTTTTTAATTTACGCATATATGAGGCCAACTATTTTCCGAGTGCACGTTTGTCCGCCCCCATAACTAACTCAGAACACTCGAGCGCCTCAATGGACACACGGATACGCAGAATCGAGGGGGTTTTCGAGGGGCAGGGGGGGGGTTCATGGGTGGCGCTTCGAGGGGTCCAAAGCCGGCGGAACTTGGAGAATGTTTTGAGTGTTGAGAGGATGTTGGGCGAATGTCATGCGATTGTTTTGTGTGCCGGGCTGTGTTGTGTTGCGCTGTGTTGCGAGTCCTTGCCGTCGACGGGCTTTGTTTGAATGGCACTCGAATCGAGGGGATTCGGTGGCGGGGCATAGGACTCGGCTTCGGATTCGGATTCGGGTTTGAGTTTCAGGATGGGGAATGCTAGATGAGTGGGTAGGCCAAACAAGATTGGGTCGAGGCTAATAAATACGAGCCACTTACTTGATATAAATGAAAGCACAAGAATCATATCTATGGTCACTTGAAACCACTTCATCTCATTTCCCTCTGCACGCTTTTTCTGCCCGTGCTGCGGTGGTGGATCTGCCCTATATATAATCCCCTTCTGGCGGCTCCAATCTTTTCTCCTATTTGCTGATATATATATCCAGGACCGATAGTGTTTTATAGGGTTTTTAGGGCGCAGGCGCAGCTGTCGCGGGTAAAGTGAACTTTTTCTTCATGTGTTGCGGTTTGTTATTATTGTTGTTGTGCGTTTTATGCATCTCAGTTGCGGTTTTAATTCTCAGTGTCCTCGAATTGGCAGCATTTATTTACATCGATTATTATTCTGGGTATTGCTTCCATGCCCCTCGATTTCATAGTAAATATAACATATTTCTTCTCTCTATATATATATATATATCTATATATTCTATTAATGTATGTACGTTTTTTTTTGGTTTACTAGGTATATAAATATATTTGTAAATATATTTGTTTCTTGGCAGTTTTCGATTAAAATTCTTCAAATGTATGTTCTCCCTTTTTGGTGGCCTCCTCCCGGTTTTGCCTTGGCTTTGCTCCTTGTTGTCCTCGTTGTCCTTTTGCTTCACATCGCCTCATTCCTGCGCTCCTCCTCCATCTGTTCTTTGTTCCGCCAAGGGTGGAAAAGGGAAGAGGGATAGGTAGAGCGAAGAAAGTCCTGGAAGAAAGGACACATTTAATTAGTGTTTTCATTAAAAAACAAAAAAATTCTTTTCATTTCGTTGGGGGCAATGTATGTGTGGGAATTTATCAAGGGACGGGGAAACTTTCACACCCCAAAAGTAATTCAAGCACGTATATACTTATTTAATATATAAAGATGTAGAGTAAACCAGTAGAGAAAAAATACTGCTAAGAACTTTTTCAAGCCATTGTAATTTTTCAAAATATTTTGTATTTAGAAAAAACCAAGTGACATAAGAAAATTTGCTTGGGATTTATTAGGCTTAGACCTTCTTTTATTTTTTCTTGGACATTTTCTTAGCCCAGCTCATCCGCTTTGCATTCGAAGTACAATAAAGTTTTCAATCCCAGCAGCGAGTCCCTGATATATTTTTTCCCTCTCAGGACTTTCCTTATTTTTCTGTTTATGCAAATTGATTTTAATTCTAATTTTCTGCTCTTGCCGCTGACCCAAATTGGATTGTTTGAAATGCTTATATCTGTATACATTAGAATGGAGAATTTCTCGAGTCGCGGGCCGCAAACATTTTGTGAATTTTAATTGCTAATTTTGCGTAATTCATTTACCCCGGTTCCAAAAGGTAACCCACGGCCTTCTCGCCTAAAGTTTTTGTTCTTCCAAGGAGCCTCCTTGGGGTCTGTTAATTTAATTAATAACTCTGCAAGAGACTTGACGAGCGAGTGTCCCTTTTTTTACGAGTTGGGATAATCTCAAAAAGTCCTTTGAGTGGCTGAGTGATGGACCAACTTTAATTTGTAAGGTCCTTTAAAAGGATTTTAATTTTGGCACCATTTGGCTAAGTAAAATTAAATATTCAAGACTTAAAGATTGCTCCCTGATTATATAAATTCTAATCAAAATTATTGCCCATGAAAATCGATAGGTTATCCTTGAAATTTCCTGCTGTCACCTTTGAACTTGATTTATCTCCCAGGAGCAAAGTTGTCATGCGGTGCTTGGAATAAATAAACATGACATGACATTGATGGCGTACAATGCCTCTTAAATTTCACACAATTGTGTAACATTTTCAGCCATTTAAGAAAAGCTGTCCTTTAAATCGTTACCAGAGCCATTTTCCTAATTTAATTCATGGGAAAAATGTACTTCAAAGTTATGGTGAATTAAAAAAAAAAAAGTGCCCCTGAAAAGTTGCTACATTATTGCGCAATTCAATTAGGGCGACTTTAAGTCGCCACTTGAACGAAATGAGGGGTTGCAAAGGTGAGAGACGTGTGAAAAATGTGAAGGGGGGACCGTGGGAAAAATGTGAAAGGTGGGTGGAAGGGTGGGGGGGCGTGGGAAATATGTGAAAAGGGGGCGGTGGTGGGTGGCAGGTGGGGGAGTGGCATGAATGAGCAATTCAGCAAGGGGGTGAAAAGGTTTTCGGAAGTAATTTAAGAAAATGTCATAAGAGTGTGCATGACCTTCCCACCTTGCCCCCTTAACCCCCCTCCCACCATAGAATTTTTCACATCTGACGCTGTCAAATATTTAACCCTCTTAACACACCAGTGACATATCTGTGATATTATAGAAAATTACTTGTAAGTCCTAAGTTTAAAGTTAGAAATATACATATATGCATTTTTTAACGAAAGAGAAGATACTTAAGATCAATGTTGGTGTTATTTTATAAAATTATAAAATTATATATAATTTTCTATTTGTCACTTTGGAATTTTCATTGACTTCTAACACTTTCAAATTAGTTTCTAGCTTTCCACAACTCCTCCATGTGTTTTCCTACACTCTTGAGGAAATCTTTGTGGAAATTTCCATTTTAAATTGGGGTAATGAATCGAGTGAATCTTAATTAGAGGGTTAAGGGTCGCCTGCAGGTGTACCAGGTGGCATGCGGCATGTGGCAGGATAAAGCGATGGGTTGGGATGGGCTGGATGGCTAGATGGCTGGGATGGCAGGATGGAAGGATGGCTGACTCGAGGACGACACGTTTTTGATGCAACAAAAGATGCCAAGTGTCAATTTAAACAGCCGCACGAGTGAAGGCAGGGGGACTCTTGTCTCAGTCTCCCAAAAAATGTGCCAGGGGCATCGTTCCATCGCACTCGCACTTGCACTCGCACTCTTTTCGTCCTGCCACTTGAAGCTTGAAAAAGCCAACGTTGACAGCGTTTAAGACTTTCCCCATTGTCCTTGCCAGCGCCTTGATGGTTTGACAGGGCAAGGCAACGCCGTCCTCCTGGCAGCCTCCTCCTCTTCGTCCTGCCAGGACCTGCCTGTCCTCGCCTGTTGTCTTTTCATATTAAATGCATGGCGAAATGTACAAAAAAAACGAAAAAATACCAAAGAAACGACAGCCCGACAAGAGCGAAAGGGAGTGCATTACTGTACATCGAAACTGTGTGTGCATACTGGACTTAAAAATAATTATATTTACATTTTATATCTACAGCCAAATGGCTTAATTCCAGTATCAAAATTGGCTGCATTTATTTTTTCTACTTCTAGCATCTTACTCTCTACAGAGTTTTCTGGGAATACTAAAGGAAATTTTTATGAAATTGTTGAAAAAATAATTTTACTTCTTGTTCTTTTGTGTTACTTAGCCTTAAAAAGGTTTTTCTTTGTTTTTTACTTTAGAAAATATTTTTGTTAGGCTCTGCAAATATTTTTAAGAGTATTTAAATTATAATAATAACTAAACATCTTTTCTGAAGTGATTAAAATTGTAATACCCTTAGCGAGGGTAAATTGAGGGACTTAAGTCAAAAAGCGCGAGAGAAATTCGATTTTTCGCCGTCAACTTCCGTTTGTCTGCCCGCCCAATTTGCCCCGTCATCACGCTATAGTTGCCACTGCCATGGCCTTTGGCCTCCGACCCGCCCCCTCTTGAGGCACCTCCTCCCCCCCACTCCCGAAAAGCCAAACCACCCGCACCACATTTGTCGCTCATTATGGGCGCTCATTAGGCGGCGCTAGCGGCATGTCAAGTCTGCAAGAAGAAGAAGAAGGGCGGGGCAAAAAAAAAGAAGTGGAAAAAAGAAAGTGGGGTGAGGCCCTGACCCCTGACCCTTAACCCCTAATAATGCAGAGCAGCGTACGAGGATAAGGGGCGTAATAACTATATTATGCAGTCTGACTAAGTTATTTTCAAACCACAACCAGTGGCAAAGCCAAACCAGTGCGAAGATTTAACATTTTTTGGCCAAGTGTACAAATCCCTTAAATAAGTTATACTATTATATTAATTTAAATAATTTATTTAAATTTAAAAAGTGATTTTCATCCTTATATTCAACATTTTTTAGGAATATATAACATTTTTTATATTTAACCAGGGTAAATATCAAATTTAAAGCAAAGAATTGATTGCCATTTAAATTAACACACTAATGGCACTCTTGACTATTTCTTGTCATTCAAATGAAGCCCTCAAAATTATCCCCCCCCCCCCATAATATCTTAATATTTCTGGCATTTATAATATGGTATTCGTCAAAAGCCTGAAGTGGCATAACAAAGGCTAAGGCAACAATTGTATTTACATCAACATCATCATTACCATCTAGGCTACTCATTCGCATGCTCAGCAGCAGCTGTCTCTTTCCATTTGCTATCGCCATCTCTTTCGTTTCACTATCCCCGTCTCTGTCGCAACGCTCGTTGTCTGGTTGTTGCTGATTTTGCTATTATTACATGCATATTTCGTGTAATGAGTGCGATTAGCATTTTCAATGAAGTGGGGTTAGCAATGTGCCTTGCATTTCTAGTTGGTTCGCCCACACTCAACCACTTTCTCCCGCTTTCCGCCAACTTTCACCCACTGACAGTCGAATACGGGCTGTTGCCACCAAGATCCCAGCCAGAAATCTCTCACTCGATGCTCCAAATGATGCTGCGTCATCAACATAATCATCGGGCATCAACATTTCAAATTGAGCGGCATTATTGGCCCGAAGGCACATAAAGCTATATACTCATTCGCCCCGATATCCATGTACACATATATATAGCCACACATGCCACCCATAAACAGTCGCTGCATTTGATCAATTGCCAAGCATATTTATGAATTCACAACACTGCGAGCAATGGCTGATTTCGAGAGTTAATTACACTAGGCGCCATCAGGAATGTATGGCAATTCATAATTCTTTATGTTCGTACTGAAAATCTAATAACAAAAATATGGGTATGTATTTTATATATACCTTCGTACAAATATAAATAGTACATGTCCTTATTTATACAAATGTCATTGGTATTTTACATTTTCTATTTTAATAGATAACTTATATTTTTAGCAGTATACTTTATGCAGAGGGGCCACAGAAATCAATAGGGCTTTCAAATAATTTGTAGGTGTGTAAAAGTATGCAACAGAATATTTTATTATTTGGAAAGAAGACAATTATTAATTTACTGCATACTTTTAGGCACCTTAAACTACATTTAAATGGGATTTTAAAATTTAAAAGTGATTTGTCTTAAGAAAACATAACATTTTTAAAAACCTTATAGTTAATCCCCTTTACTTAGAATATTTGTAGATATTTATTCCCTTTAAGTTTTTACAAGTGTAAATGTGCGATTTGCAGTCGCATTTCAGCCATTTCAATCGCTCTCAGACGCACACATTTCTGGGGCCCTTTTTTTATGGCCACTTTCCTTAAACCACGCCTCCACCCCTTCCCCCGCCCCCTCAAAAACGCCCACCAGCTGAGCTTTGTCCTTGCGTTGGCATCTTTAATGTTGCCTACTTTTTTGCGCTCTGTTTTTTTTTTTGGTTTGTGTGTGCTTGTGGCCAGGATATATGTGCGCATATATATCTGCGGGTTAGGATCACTGGAGGGGTTGCCCGCCACCCGATGCTAGATTTTCCCTTTTAACTCATTGTCTACTTATGGCCGGGTGTCCTTTGGCTTGCCTTGGGTTTTCCCGCCCACTTGGGTGTCCTTGTCGCTGGTTTTGCATTTCGGTGGCCTGCAATTCGCACACTTACACTCGC